TAACAATGTCGCCTCCAAAGTATAAGTTAGTGGCTTTTATTTGTCCGTACAACTGCTTCTTGTCTGGGTTGGATCAAAAATGTAAACACTGTTCATGCCTGGGTGTTTCTGGCAGCTGTTTGTGCTTAATAACGCAAATATATTTTTTGTTTCGGGTTACGTCTGTAGTTGTATATCCGATAGTTATACATTCGATATATTAGATTGCCATAGTGTGCCATACACTTATGTGTATAATAATCATACTATTAGTGACTTAATCCATGACTTACATTTAGCTTTGTAATTCTAACCAACACATATTCATAACAAACATGTAGACTCACACATTCCCTAATGTATCATGTGATGGAAGTTAAACCATGTTTCCTAACAGGACTCTGATATTTATACACACATTGCATCACAGATTTAATACTATTTAATAGTAACCAAATACCAGTTACTATAGAGGTTGTAGAGGTGCTATTTGTTGCTAACAAGCGCTTCAGAAAGGGCACTGCCGATCTTACAGATTTTCATTAATATGCAATCTATTACTTGTTAAGGTCTGTTTAGCAACAAAAAACATTCTTTACTTCCTAGTCAACTGTGAGGTTGAAAAAAGGGCTATAAAGCTACAGACTAGAAGACCTGAAAATAATTGCACTGTAAAAACAAATAGGTGAGTTAAATATAACTTAAAATTATTGAATGGCTTCAATATTGAGCAATAATTTTTTCTACATAAATCATTGCAAAGTCATTTGACAGTGTTGTTGTTAAACCTTTTCTGTAGGTCCTCCCTTTTACGGATAAATTATTATTATTATTATTTTTGTATAGACCCCTAGCCTCCATTTTTTCATATTGCCTCATTAGCAAATACATCCAGAAAATCACAAGAAACAGACTTCCCATCTCATGTAAATGAAATGCACTGATGCATCGTGACTGCACGATAGTAATTTTGAAATGTTTCTACAAACACAAACTTATCCAAAAAGTCTGAAATAATATTTTAAAGAAGTGTTTCTAAATGCTTTCATTTTCAAGCTATAAAAAGATAAATGGAGAAAATCAGATAATATTCTAGCCAAAACATTGGCCTTACTCTTATCTCTTCTATTCAGTTTAAACTCTTTAATTATCAGATTAAAAAACAAGTCCAGGAGAAAAAGGTTTTCATACTATTGTTTTTGCCAAACTCTGTCCTTGTGTACAGCACGTGCAGCACTGTCTGGGTCTTTTAGAAAAAACATATAATCCCCAAGGACATACAAACCAGCTCTTGGCCTACTTGGTTCATCCACAGTACACAGTCATTCCCTGCAAACGTGTCATAAAACACGTACGCTAAAGCAAATGAAAAATCAACTGTGCAGCATATGTTTATGCATCAACTACCCCATATCACAAACATTTACGTCTTAACTGTCCTCTAATGTCATTTGAAAAAAGTGGTTTGATACTGGTGTGCCTTAGATACACTCAAAACAGAGAAAACAGGTGTTTGCACATTCACATATGCATCTGACACACATATGCACTCTTCAAGATTATGACTCCAAAGTGTAAGCATGAGAAATAGGATGACCTCGTTGCCCACAAACTCCCCTGAAGTGTCATTGAAGGAATGCATGACGAAAGGAGGGGGGCTGTTTTAAGCTGTACTGTCACTCCTGGAAACTCCACAAGGATGGCAAAGGAAAGCCCATGAGGTCAGCCCTTGAAATGCAAAGAACTTGTCACCTCAGTGAGGCTGATACTACGATGCCTAATGTGCAATATGCTGTGGGTGATACTAAATACTAAGTAATAATAAGTAAATGACATTTAGCTTTAACCATACGTTTTATTGTGTTTTTGTTGCTTTGCCCACTGTAATGCATTTGAAAAACTAACTTTGGGTTTTATAAATAACCCTAATCACAATCCCAGATTCATTATGTTCAAGAGCCATACATTGAATATAGCGACTATTTACCAAATGCCAAAATATTTTTGGCATCCCTGAAGAGACAGCACAATAACTGAGCAGACACACCTCACAAATCATCACAGAAGTAGATAGAAAAAAACATTATATCAAACACATCTAAACCCATATGACTATTGATATCTACTTTAAGTAATTTGTCTGTTCACTGAACAGAACCATCACTCTGTATCTGTCCTTGATTTTGCTCATGACATTGCTGTATGCAATAGTAGTTGCAACCTGCATGAAGCATCCCAGCAGAGAGAGTTCAGAGTGACTTAGTATGAATTAAACATAACAGAAGTCACTACATCTGTTTTGTTGTGATATTTGCCATATGAGCACTAACAGTGTGTGGGATTTTTTTCTGACTAAGTTGTTCTGACTAAGCTGAAGTGCACTTCAGTGTCTTTTTTAATCCTCTGTCTTCCACATGAGGTCATTGAACCACTCATTGGCTATAGGAACATCTATATGGATGATGATGTGACAAATGCCTGCTGCTGTCTTTTCCTTTCTTTTTCTGATGTGAGAAATTCTGTCAATGATTTATTCAGAATAGTCAGAAATAGAGTAGATGACTAAGTCGGTGATTTTCATTTTTCACAGGAGAAATTGAGAACTTGCCTCTACATAGGTACACGTATTTCTGTTTGATCAGGTGACATCTGACCTGTGTCACATGTGGAAGAAAAATATTTGTCAGCTACAGTGTGACCACGGCAGTCTCCACCAGCCCTGGCCTGCCAGCGTCAGCACTGACACTGATATATTTAGTCATTACAGTTACAGTCAAGATGACGTAATTGGGATGATGCTGGGGCTGCTGATCAGTCTGTGCTGTTTTATGCTTGTGTTTGTTTACTAATCGACAGTGACGTTTACTACATGTCATGCTGAGAAAACTGTATCCATTTTTCTGGATCCAAAATTTATACTCCCGAAACTAAAAGCCTACACCCATTGAATATGTTTCATTTACAGCACACTCGTAGTAATCTTAGTCAAAATCTAAAATGCAGTTTTAACCTTAAATCAGCAGCTGTAATTTTAGTTGTTGGAGTCATTGCTAAACTTGAAATTGGAGCAGGTGCATTCACTGACTAACCTCCCCATTTTCTCCCAGTGCAGTAATAGCTGATGCCACAAATATAAAACAGTATGTAAAAAGATCAATATAATGAACTTTCAGTGACATCTTACCCTCAAAGTACGATTTTATGTATATACTACTACATCTGTTTAGACTTTTGAGGCAGACACATCTGCATTTGCAACTAAAACATAATTTTGGAACAATATTTTGAACAATATCAAATAATAAATTTGATTTGTGTTGTTGCAAATTATTTATTTATTTATTGAATATTTTTACTATATATTAATATTGTAAAAATTAAAATAATTGTACATTCACAACAAAAATTAGGGGCTTTAAATATTTTAATGTGAAATTCTTGGTCGATTTTGAATCATGTAATACTGCACTGCATTTTTTTTCTGTATGTTATTGCATTAAAATGCAAATAAACATAATTTATTATTAGCCTTCACTGCATGCAGAAAAATTCACAGACACACACAGTGCCACAACATGCCAAGATGCCAAATGTCTCATGGGAGTGCTGTCTAATACCAACAGTGATTCCAGTAATCTTTGAAAGTTTTTAGATTAAATTAATCTGGAGCAAATTGTTGTTTTATTTTGTGCCATAAAGTAAAATCCAAAGTTGCTCCTCCTTGTGGCTCATAACACCAAAAGCTGCTTATTTCAGGTTTACCTGCTCCATGCTTTGGCCATTTGTTGCAAGTCCTCTCGAACTGAATTTGAGTTCCCTCAGGTGCTTCTGTTTTCTTCACACACAATGCATGTGGCCCAGATAAGTTTTTCTGCTGGTTGTTGTACATGTAGACTGTTTTATGCATTTGCAGATGCCACTGGGTAAGAAATGAGATTGTTGTGCCAACACAGGGACAGTTATAAGTCACACTACTTGCCTCTCCTACAGTCATGTTTACATATGAACCCTGCAAGCATCGCTGCCAGATGTGTTTCTGCTCAGATGGGTCAGATGAAGGGCAGCTGAACCCCTTTGTTAAGCACAAACTATTACATAATATATTATGATGGTGTATAGAGGCATTTATCAAACACAATAAAATGAGTCTGTTACATTTCAGGTGTCAGTTGTTTTTATTAAATGGGAATAATGTGCAGAAAAATAAAGCCTCATTTTTTTTAATCACAATTTTAGTTTTTAGTGCCATCTTGTCTTTAAAGATATTCTGATTTTAGTTGTTCAGTTTTTCCTGCAATCTTACTTACTGAGTTTATTATTTGTTTTATCTCTTTTTGATTTTTCTAATAATTTTCTGTGGGGTTTCTTTTTTTTCATTCAGTTGCATCTTCTGTTTTTACCTGTTGTAAACAAGGCCTCGACTTCAGTGCATCTCTGAGTTTAGATTATTACCGTGTGTCTTTTTATTATTTATTTAATGCTGACCTAGGAAACAAATTTCATTCTTTTATGTTTTTGACATCATGAATGACATGAAATGAATACTGAGATGGATATTTACTGAATGAATGTGTGAATCTGGTAAATAAATAGAAGCTTCTTTGGCCAGGTATAATCTAACTCTGGTGTCTTGTGGCATTCCCTTAAATACAGGAGACTGAAATAGATTTCTAGCTAAAAACAAAAACAACAGCCTGAGCCACTGTGGCAAATCTTATGGCTTCTGAGTCTCCTACTCTCAACCTTTGGTTTGGTTTCTTTCAAATGACTCTGTTTCTGTATCAAGTATCTTTCTCATCTTCTCTGTGTCTATGAACCCCACTTACAAAACCTTAAAAGCCCCCTACACAGAGATTCACTTCTCACATGTTTATTTTGAGGGACTGACTGCTACAGAAACTGGAAACATGACTGGAGGAAAGGAGAGGAGTAGGAGGAACCTGGCAAATAGAGAGTAGGGAGGGAAGGAGAGAGAGAGGCTGAGTGGGTAGTGAGGAGCTATAAAAGAGAATGCTGGAGCTGTCTGTGGCATTAGCCTGAGCAGACTCAGAGTCTCACACACACACAAAACGAGGAAGAGTGGAATCAACAGGCAACAGCAGAGTTGAAACACACTGAGTGCTGAAGAGCAGAAGCTGACCAGAGTAGTTTCAAAGCAGCTGTATCTTCAAGAATACTACAGTGTACTTGGACTTGGAGCTTTCTGGAGTGTTTGTTTGGCTGAACTTTGGACTGACTACTGCTTTGTTGCTCCTGAGAAAGAGTCTCTTCGTTTAAACTGGAAACAGCACAGAGACAAACTGTCCGCAGAGAAGTATTCAAGCTTTCACTTATAGAGCCTTCAGTTTCACTGGACTCCTGTTCTACCATGGCTGCTGTACGTCAAATGGTTATGGAGGCCTCTGGCTACCATGTCCTGCCAGCTCACCTTATGGCATCAGCTATGGAGGAGTTTCCCCAGCAGTTGCCCGTCCCAAAGGGCCCAGCAAAGGGCAAGAGCCGCTCCCGTCGACCTCGCGAGGCTCGCTTCAAAACACAGCCCGTCACCTTCGCTGAGATCCAAGAGGTAGAAGAAGAAGGCTCCTCGCCCCTGGAGGAGGAAAGGGCACGGCGCTCCTTCTTGCAGTCACTGGAAAACCTGCGGCGGAGCACACAGACCCTCCACTGCCCACCTACTGCCCATCACAGCTGCACCCCTACACCCACACAGGCCAGCCTGGACTCCAGCGACTCCGACTCCACCCAGTGAGGGCAGAGACATGACCTTCTCCCGGCTCCCACGTTCTTCGCTTTGCCTTGACCCCGTTTTGAACTTAGGTCAACTGAACTGAACCAAAGTGGCCTGTCTGCCAGGCTGCCTGTGTGTAAACTGCTGCTCTTCATTCAAAAGCCTGCCTTTTAAAAAATACTAACATGCCAACACAAAGTATAGAGCTTAAAGATGCACTTACAGCATATCTGTAATGAGCTCTACCACAGGCTGGTTACACTGTTCCACAGATATGACGAGTGTAAAAGTAACAGTGTTGAGCGCATCACTCTTCATACGTATTCCTTTTTTACAGTAGTCTGATAAAAACTTGAAGGATGAAAGATAGATGGTATTTTCCCATTTTAAAGCTGTATTTTTTTTTTTTTGTTTGAATCCATATTTTTCTACTTGAGTCACCATAGAAAGAACTCTTAAAAGGTTTTAGTATTGTGACTTACAAGGCTGTAAATACTTTGACTAAGCAAAATGCCCAGCATCGAAAGTGACCTGGCTGTCACTGGAGTAGTAGAGTACCACTGACAAAGCTTTGTCAAGAGTTTGAGCTCTTGTTTTCCAGCTTCGGTTCATGTGCAAAAACATACTTTCTGCATACATGTCTTTATTTATTCCCTTATTTTGTTCATAACCAAGTGGAGCTGTAGATGTAATATTATTTTATTGTTCTTTCTGACTTCTAAAGTCACCTCGACTTTCAATGAAAAATATAACCTTTATACTTGTTTTTTTGTTTGTTTTACTTTATACATATATGTTTGTCGTATGTACCTATAAATAAATATTTTCAAATATTTTGAACCATTTTCTGTTTTCCTTTCTTTGTATATTCCTGTTTGGGAAGGATTATCATAGAAAAAAAAAAGAACTTCAGAAGTTAACAGTTATGACTTTTGATGCGATTAGGACTACAGCAAACTCATAGCCTACATAAATTTAACTGGTTTTCCATTACCAGTGTTATTGTTAAGATAAACTTTTGCCTGACTCGCTTGTAAACACACTTGTCAACACATGACCAATGGCTTTAAAGGTGACGCAGTGTCAGTAATGTTGGGTAATGTTGGGTTTCTAACAGCAACGCACAGAGAGCCACTGCAGCCAGTTGTGTCATGGAGTGACACGGACTAGAGATGAGACAGTAAGTGGGCAGCAGTTACATGATAGTGTAGGATTTACTCACTAATTTTCTTGTTATGAGTGAAAACACAAAAACACTTTCCTTACCCTGCCAGTAGTATTCATGCTGCCTAGTAGCCACCAACTGTCTTTTCTATTGGATTTGTGTACCGGTACTTGGATTTGGCTCACAAAATAAATTTAATCTCCCATGTTTATCCTAATGAAGTAACATGTCAGCAAGTGCAAAAATATGTCCTATTAACATGCTTTTAATTGTTGCTGTACAATTAAACTATCTTTGTTTCTCACACTTGGTATTGGTAGATTGTTGGAAAAGTAACAAATACTGCAATACAGATTTTGTATATTTTACAATAACACCTACACTCTCATCTTTTAGTTCAAGACTCAGAGAAAGAGCACTTGCTACAGCAGGCCAAAAAAGCATCTTGAACTTACAAGCCGTAACATCCCTGACCCTGTTGCTGCTTCTGACGTAAAGCAAAGCACAACTGCGCTTTTCTTTACAAAAAACAACAACAAACAGCCAGTTCCAGTTATCCAGCCAAAGTGGACATGGATAAAGACCAGCCGGTAGCACATAAAAGGTCTCCAGAGCTCTTTCCCCATCCTTTACCCAAACACACTCATTAGTCATTGTTTTTCAAGTGCTTGTGGAGCTGTTGTAGTTAACCACATACACAGCACACTGTTTGACGACGCAGCTCTGGAAACAGCTGAGTCACGGAGATATTGTCTGGTTTGAAAAATAGAGAGAGAGAGAAGAAAATCACATTTGTCATCTAATGCCGGAGTGACAGATTGATTCAGTCCATGCCTCCTCTTCCTGCCCTCTTTCTTCAGCAACCCAGTTTTTATTTTGCAGAGGAGCTGAGGGAGTGTTCAAGAGCATCACTGAAACAAAACCTTGCATGTGAAATCTTCTTTTAGTAATTAGTTTCACTGTCTGACTGCAAGACAGATTGCTCGGTGCTTTAAAGGAAGACGGATTACAACGACTGATGACTGATTTTTAAAGTTTTAAAGTGTCTGACAAATGTCCAGGGACCAGCAGTCCACTTTTTGCCTCAAAATGAAAAGTTTTAAAGGGCGTTTGAACAACGAAGGGTTGCCATTCTTGGTCTGGGCACTGCACTCAAATCCATCAAGGGCGAACTCTTCCCCCTTTTAAAGATCTGGACAAAAGAGCAAACCTAGCACTGAAAGCAGTCAGTTAAGCATGAAAAACAACATGAAACCACTGTTAAAGAGTCCAAACTGGGGTAGTGTGACCCTGTGAAGTGCATGATGTCTTTGTAAACAACTTGATAGCAGCTAAAATAGCATAAAGGGGCAATCATCTGATAAATGAATATGTAGAACATGGAACAAACTGTATAGATGCTCTGATTTGTCAGTTAACGAACTAGATAGCCTGTAAGGAATAAAAGAAAAACTGAGAGGAAGCTGAAAAGATATAATCTTGTTCAGTGTCATTTTCCTGTTAATGTTGGTGGAATACCAAGCTCCTTGAAAGGCGACATCACTGTTTAAAATACACCACTGTCTGGAGCTGCTGTCTTCATTCTTCTGCTGCTTTGCTGACACTTACATTTATTCAAATGCAAAGGAGCTTGTATAAATACATGCATACAAAAAAAAGTACATGCATGCAAAATAAGAAAGAAATGTGCTGTATTGTAAGCTAAAAGTAGATTCAATGTTTTAATCTAAATATTCTGCTCCTTAAGTAAAATATGCACCTTGTACCTATTTTTCACAAGTTTGTTTAGAGTTCTGGTTTTAAACATTTTATTATTGTAAAATCTGAAGTGTATGTACAATATTCTGAAGAACAGAGGACTGAAAATTAAATATTTTAACATGGACAACTCTACTTCATGTGATCATTTTTTAAGTTTTAAGGTAAAAATAAATTTAACAAAAATAAGGTTTTAAACCTTTAATGTCGTGAGTATTGAATCATTAGAGCGCTGAATAATGGAAACAACTAATCCACTGCTTTTATGTTACCCAGCATAATAATCCTTTTGAAAAATTGTTCACTTTTAGGTGAAAAGTCACTCTAGGTATTGCATTACAACCAGCTATGTTATCTGTTTTTTATTATTCTTTTTGGTTTGCACATAACTATCTAAACATGTGAAAGCCTTTATATTATGAAATATGTCCTTTTATTTATTTGAGATATGTCTTAATTAGGCGTATATTCACATATCTGGGGAAACCGTCTGAAGGCCACATTATTGCAAAATGTTCCAAAAACAAGAATAAAACGTTCCATGATCATGATAACTATTTGACTTGTATTTATTGGAGTTTTTTTTTTTTTTTTGGGTCACAGGGACTTGCATGTTAGCAGGGTTGTTCTAGTGGTGTGTACCGAGAGCTCGGCATAAATAGCTGGTACAATATTTGCTCTGGAACAAGAGTCCTCTCTCCCAAGTTCAAAGCATCTGCTGAGTGATTCCACCCACAGCTGAGAACATTATGACAAGCAGCACGTTCATGCCTTTGTCTGTTTGTACAGTGTCTGTCTCACCCTAATTTTTATGAAGCTGTTGACATTTATAGCCATGGATGTATGATGGTCACTTGTCTGGTTGTTGTCTAAAAAAGCACACAGTGAGGTCCAGACTTAGTTGATAAATATTTAAAGTCTTTCATTAAAAAAAATAAAATAAAATCTAAGGCTATAAGCAAACAAAATTCATGACTGGTTAAATTAAAAAAATTTAAAAAGTTGGCATTAATAGCAAATTTTCCTCTACTATCAGATAAAAGTGTCATGATGGCAAATTAGCATTGAACAAGGAGTTCTTAATTTAACAGATGGACCACAGATGAAATGACAAAATATGCACATCACGCTGTAGCTTGTAGAACCATCTTTACCATCTTGAAGCGCTCAGTTTCTGTATGTATTAATCGGTTTCTCACATCATTGTGAACGAATTTGGGCCCACTCTTCTTTACAGTGTAGCTTCAGTTAAGATTATTTAGGTTTGTGGCAATTTTATTTATGTACAATTCCAGCAGAGGATTTCAGTCAGGTTGAAATTCAGACTTTGATCTTGATTCTGTTCTTTTTCAGCCATTCTGTTATAGATTGCTGGTGTGCCTGGGATATTAGTGCTGTTGAACGTCCCAGTTTCGACAATCTGCATGACCCAATTTTGGACAGATGGCCTTGAACTCTAAAATGTTTTAGCATACAGAGGAATTCATGGTTGACTCACTTACCACAAGGTGTCCAAGTCCTGTGGCTACAAAATAAGCTAAAATCATCACCCCTCCACCACTGACTTGACATTCTGTATAAGGTGATATTCTGATATGCTGTGTTTTGTTTTCCCCATATATAGTGCTGTGCTTAATGGCCAAAAAGCTCCACTGTGGTCTGGTCTGTGCAAAGGACATCGTTCCAAAAGTTTTGTGTTTTGTTCGGATGCAACTTTGTAAACTGTGCTGTCATGTTCTTTTCAGAAATAAGAGGGTTTTCTCCTGGAAACCCTTCCACACAAGACGTACTGTACTTGTTCAGTCTTTTTATAATTGTGCTGTCATGAATTTTAACATTTTACATTTTAACTGAAGCTTGTAGAATCTGAGCTGGTGCTGTAGCTTGAAATTTTAACACTTTATTTTTGAGCACAGCACGGACCGTGGGACCTGAGAGATGCATCTGGATCTTAGGTGGTCCATCTACCATTCACTGAAGCCTCATCAGAAATCACTGTCGGGTCACATCATTGTCAGAAAACCATTCTTAAAGAATGGAAATGAAGAGAAAGGGTAAGGTATGCTAAATTGCACAAAACTGTAATGAAAATCAATGGCAGCAGGTCTACAGCTGCCTGTCTTGATTTGAAAGTGTGTTTCAGGCAGCTGGGGTGTTAGTGATCTTGTCAACACTGATTGAATTTTGAAAATAGAAAATAGATTTTGATTGATCACGCAGTAGTGTCAGGGCTCTGTGTGCGGGCAGGTGGAGGCGAGGACCCAAACGCAGGACTCGTGAAGGCAAATTTCAACAGAAAACCACAGCTTCATTGCTGGCAGAGAACAAAACATGAATAGAACAATGAATACTGGAACGGGGAAAACCCCCACGCACACACAGAATCTGAGGGTACAACACAACAATGAGCAAGGACAAACACAGGGCTAATATACACAGGGACGTAGTGAGGGAATGGAAAACAGGAGGGAGACACAGCTGGAAGAAATTAGACTAACGAGACAGGGGAGCAGTAAAACTGAACACACTGACAACAGATTGGGACTATCAAAATAAAACTGGAAACATGAAACAGATCACAAAGACGCAGACTTAACACTAAACTAAATCTGCAATAATATCAATAATCAAAACAGTCTCACTAAATAATCAGAACATAAATCATAATTCAGAAAAAACACCAAAACCCAAGAAACAGAAAGAGCTGGGTCAAACTGATCCAGAACCGTGACAAGTAGCATCTGGAAAGCATCTAATTTACAACCTAAAGAAGTTTTGAAGAATAAAGATGGTAATACAAAATATTGACTCACATTCAAGAAATCTCCCCAGCTATTTGCCACTTTCAGTACACGCAAAATATAGAGAAATGGGGCCTCAAGACTTTTACACAGTTTTGCACCTAAAAAAAACAGAAGTC